CTTTTAATTAATTCGCGGCATCAAAAGTGGAAACAGAAGCAGACGCAGCATCAGCCGCAGTGCAAAGATTCAAAGTCAAGTTGCCAGCGAAATCAGCAGAAAACAAAAAAAGAAACTGAATTTACACAACGAGAAAGAAGCAACAGTGAAAAACTGAAATAAATGCGTATGAATTCACAAAATGTGATTATGAATAAGGGCCATTCATGCAAAAGGCTGAGTGCCGAGGAGGGAACCACAAATGTGGGAAAGTTGCCACATGAAGAGGGTTAAATGACGGCCAGCGGACAAGGGGGCTGCCTGGGGAGGGTTAACCACATGCCGATTATGGGGCGTGCAAAATCAATTTTAAAGCGAATTTAATAAAAGCTCTTTATGCGCATTCTGCGGCAATTAAGTGCAGCAAATTGCAGGCATCGCGTCGATGTTGCATGCGATGTTGCTGCAGTAAATGCGCAGGAAATGCTGATGCTGCTGCTCCGATTAACCCTTGGAACAAGGAGGATCTTAGAATATGAAACTATATGATAGTTACTCAATTCTACTTGGGAATAATAAACCAAATAAATGACTTTCAATCCAATATTTGTTCTATATTATTTAGTATAATAAATAAAATACAGTTGAATACTATAGTGTATGTTCCCAGTTTATTACCAATGATTGTCAACGGGTTAAGGGCACGTGCCTGTCCCAGTAATTAAGCTGATGTGAAAATCTTTGACTTGGTGCGAACACAGCGAGCAGGCAATTAAATTGTCCAGGACAGAGGACAGAGCCTACCGGCTTAATGCCCGCTGCTGCACCCGGCCATGATGGTGGTGGTGACATCACCGGAGCATCGCCCCACACTATCCGGATCAATGTCATCGACTGCAGCGACAGATTTATGACAATCCGAGGGACTTGGCCACGTCCGACTCTCATGCTCACCTGACAGCTGCCTGATGGCTGATGGCCTGCCCCCTTGGAGGCCCGAAACTTTGAAATCAACATTTCAATTTGTTGGCGGCTGCCGCTCTGGCAATTTGGTGTGAAAAACTTGTAGCTATTTTTAAGTCATCAGCGGGAGCAGGCAGCAGGCAGCAGCATCATCAGCCAGCATCTGCAGCGGCAACAACTGGAGTTGCCGGGCAACTTTTATTGCCATGTGCGGGGCATGTCTTCGTGCCAATTGCGTCATGCCAGGCGAAATGTGTCAAGTGAGCGGTGACTGATGTGGCGAGTAACAAGGAGTCGTTACGCACTGAACCAAAATTTGGGTAGGAAATAGGAATAAGAATAGGAGTAAGAAAGAAAATCAATGGGCAGACTTTAGAATTATTAATGAAACACAAGAAACAGAGCCTAACTAAGGAGTATTACTTTTAAATACCTCTTCAAAATCCACTCTTGTAGTTGTAGAAGTAGAAGCATAACTTTATCTAAGTGCAAGTCTTCTCCCCTTTTCCAACCCCCACATTTGTCTTGAGGAGTGTTGCATGCGAAAAGTATGCATAAAAATGTACCATTCAAGCGCTGGAATTAAAAGTAACGAGAGAAACGCTGCCGGCACAGGACCTGAAAAAAAAGAAGCCAAGGAGCAGGCACTCGAAATGGCGTTGGCTTTATTCCGGCAATTGTCTGGGACAGTTAACCCCAAGGAGCACACGACTCGCGACTCGGATACATAGCAGCCAGTACATAGGAGGAGGCATCCTCTTGAGCCGCTGTCATTGTCAATGTCTCCAGACAAATGCGCCTGAAATGGCATAACAGGCGAATGAGTTTGAGTGCCAGAAGCCCAGCCCACTCGGGAAAATGCGAGGGGTTTGGGAGCTTGAAAAACTCTTGGCCCACCCCCTCTTGGCCCACGCAAATTCGGTGCACGCGCAATGCTAATCTGCTTTTAATTAAACGCAACTCGCAATGCCGAAAGTCTAAGAGGCTTCCTCCCTTCAGTTAGCTAATTGTCTTTTGTCATTTGTCTTTTTGGCCAAAATATGCCAGAGACAAGAGACAGTTACATATGTGGAAATTCACAATTGCGGAACAAGGAATGTAGAATGGCCCAAATGACAATTAAAACACAAATGTTGTTTTCTTGGCCCTGACAGTGACTGTTTCGGTGGGTCGGCAGAGGTTAAACTCAATAATTATATCAGAGCTAATTAAAATGAATAGAATTAAGTACGATGACAAAGGGGAAGAAGAGAATAGAATGGAGAAAGTCTTTCATTTTCTTGATATTTTCCTCATTGTGGTAGGCATACATTCTATTCTCCATTTATATAACGCATTTTATTTTATTCTATTCTCAATTCTCTTATTTCCTTTATATACATTTTTTAAGGCTGCAAATATATAGGAATGGAAATATATACATTGTTATGTATTTATTAGGCACTAAAATAAATATAAACATTCAGTACACAGCTCAGAGTTAAAAAATATTTAAAGTAACTTGAAGCACTAATGATTGATTTCAATAAATATTAATATTTGTATTCTGTAACAAATATTAATTTACGTTTAATTACACCAGATAAATTGTAATTGCTTCGATATAAAAAAGGGGCGTGGGATGGATATAAAATAATGTACTTACATGATTTCCCCCCTTTCAATGGCATACCGCATTTCACCAAAGAGGGGAAATTTCATTTTTCAATAATGATAAATGGCAAAAATATTAGGCAAAATCAATCAAAATATGAAAATATGAACAGCAGCTTGCACAAAAAAAAACCAAAGACCCGAGAAGGGGCAGGGAAAACATATAAAATATGTCAAACACAATTAATTATGAAATGCATAAAACAAAGCCACAGGCATAAAAACAACAATGAAGGCCATAAAAGCGTCAGAGGATGGAAAATGCATGAAAAATGCGACAGACAAAATTATCATTCATAATAATTTGTACAAACAAAACGCGCGGGGGGGGGGGAGTAGGAGCATCGGGAATTGGGGGTGGGGAAATTGTGCGAGGGAAAATGTTTGCAACTGTAGCCGCGGTAAACAATAGGGCAACAGTGGGAAAGATGGGGCAATAGAATGTTTCACGTCGAGCCAACAATTACAAAAATTGATGTTTTATTTAAAATACCAGACGGCAAACAGGGCTGGCCGAAGGAGAGCCACAGAGGGCCACAGTCGGGGAATAAAAATAACAACAGCAGTGATAATGTTGCTGGCAACACATGTTTACAAAGGCAGCGAGAACCGCAGATACAGCAGCAGCAGCAGCAGCAGCAGCAGCAACGGCTGACAGCAGGCTCGAGAGGCCCGCCCCCTTCGAAACAGAATGTCAGACGCCTGTGCACACATTTTAATCAATAAACAAACGTGAAAATATGACAAACAAATTAATAAAATGCAGCAAACGCCGGTCGAGACAATGACAAAATATTATAAATGCATCCAAGGGCTCTTTGTGAGCGGTGTACAGGGGTCGGGGGCAAGTGGGGGAAAGTGAAGTGGGAAAAATCAGGGAAAAATCAGGGGGATAAGGTCTATATATAGAGCCGCAGCATCCATCCCGTTCCCGCTCACCCCTCGACTAATTGTGACAATTCGGTCTCACACAAATGGCATAATAAATGTTGAGCAGAGGAAATGATGTGTGAAGTGCATGCCTTTGTATCCTCCTCCCCCCTTAACCCACCAATACGCTTAACCCTCTACTTTCCCAACATCGGAATACCAGACAACCGATGACCAAGCGGAAGTGATTTTTGGTTTCAGCGCACGATTTTCTGTCAGCTGGAAATGCAGGGCACAATGCCGATGCTGATGTTGGGCCCAGCTATTAGCCAAACTTTGTCTACACTGAGAGAAAAGTGCTGTCAATTAATAAGCATTTTATATGGATTACTCGTAATTCATTAAAGCATTCGCCATATTACATATTTAAGTATCTTAAACATATATAAAGTTATATAGTTTCTACAAGAGTTTTTAGTAACTGTTCAAAACTAATTTAAAAGTGGTTCTTTTTACCAGTAATTTGATGTGATTTTTATTTTGACTTATTTACTTTTGAACTCAATATTTTTAAGGTTAAATAAATCAATTATTTAAGATAGATATTTATTAATTTATTTCCATAAATAGCATATTTTCTAATCGCTTACTCACATAAATTTAGATATTTTAAACCTTTATACCTAGCTTTAAAAACTTCGAATAATATTGTACCTAACATTTCCAACATTAAAAAAATTCCCTTTATTGCACATTTTTCCCAGTGTATAATGGGAACCAATCGCCGTTCATTGTTTACGACACAATTGCTGAACAATGCCAAAAACAGGAAGCGGCGATATGCAGAACTCTTTTTTTTTTTTGCTCCTTTTGAGGGGGCAGATAGATAGATAGTTTGAAGGACTGGTGGCCAGTGTGCGGCTTCCTGCATTGAAGCGCATAATTGAGCAGCGGGGAAGGTCGTAAATAATGCAAAACCCAATTGCTGGCGGCCAGCGAAATAAGCAAATCCAAATTGGATGCCTTCGAGTGGACGGGACGGGCTGCTAATTAGTCCCCGGGTCGCATTTTTGAGCGCTCCAAAGCGATTTGAGAAAGGTCAAAATGGGCATTGATATTTCCTATCTCGGTTTGGGTTGCAATGGGTCCCAGTCCCCGGTCACTGTCCCTGTCCCTGCCCCTATCCCTGCCCCTGAACGCATAAATCAATCCGGGCAACGGTCGCGGCACGTGACGATCGTCGGAATTTTTATTTGGAACTTTGTGCACTTTACGAGGCGGCCGTAAAACTAATATTTCTGCCTGTGTCAACAACTAATTGAATATTCTCTGTGCTCCTTTCTTCCCACTATATTGCAGGGCGTGGCATTTCTCTCGGCAGCATATGAAGTAATTAGGAGTAGCACTAAAAACATCTATAAATGTCAAAAGACAAACAATTTCGCGGAAGAGCGAATGCCAGACATTGCCATCGACACTTTCCAGGCAACATGTTGCTGGGAGTCATAGACAGCAGCAGCAGCAGCAACCCCAAGTGACAGCAGCAACATCAACTGGCGGCAGCAACATTTGTGCGTTCAGTCGCAATTCTGACGGTTGTGTGACGCGTTCGCCGGGCGGGCAATGAAGCAGACCTTCTTTGTACTCAACAGAGAAAGAGTGACGTCAAAAAAACAATATAAACAAAGTGCAAACAATAAATACAACAAACGAATCACAATACGTAACAAAGTGTGTGCCATATAAATAAGAATAATTAAGTAGAAAATGCCGGAGAGCCAGCCACTCTAGGCAAATAAATTAGCATAATTTAGCAAAGATTTGCCAAGACAAGCCGACATTCATTTCGCACTTAATTAGTGTCCGACAGCGCTGACAATGTGGCAGACACTATCAACTTTAAGCACATCACTCAGAGGAGCAACAGCAGCAGCAACGCCGGCAACCTGCAACTGCAACAGCATGGAAAACGCGGAAATGCACAGTCACAAAGTGGGCAACATGTTGCCATCAACAGACAATGCGACAGCGGCAATGCGTAGGTGTCGCTGTCGCACAAAAATCGCAAACAGCAACAGCAGCAGCAACAACAACATCAGCAGCAGCAGCAGCAACAATAGTAGCAACTGCGGCAGCAACATCCTGCAGTGGCTACTCCTGCTATGCCTTTTCTGTGGTAAGTAGAAGCCGGCAAATGAGCCATGGTCGAGTGCAGTAAGTGACTTTTAACAAAACGCGCTTAAATGTCTCTGATTTAGTGCCCCACGCCCCCAGGGAAAAGCATATACAACTAAAAAAAACGACACATACACTGGAAAATAATAATATTCTTTGATTTGGTGCTTTTAAGTCGGAAGTTAGACTTTTATAATGAGCGTGTTACTATAACTTGGAAAATATTTATGTTCTTTTAGGAATCTTTTGATATATTATTTGTGGGTTGTACAGCTTATTTGATTTAAGCCATTATTCAATGTTTTATTTTAGTTTCCCGCCAATTTCCTAACTCCCTCGATTTCATGCTTCATAAATACTTTCTCAGTGTAGGAGAAAAAAACAGGGATAAAGCAGAAAAGACAAACCGCCAAACCAAAGTGATATAGAGATGTGTTGAATGAAAAAACTGCTGCAGTTTTAGCCCTTGAATAAGATATACAGGGGGAGAGTTGGGCCAACACAAAAAAATAAATAAAAACGCTCAACACAAATCAAGATGAATTTCCGTGCATTTTTGTGCAGATTTTTGTACAGCTTTGGCAAAAGGAAAATAAACCATGTACAGAGAGAGAGACAAACACACATGGGCAGCCAAAAACTAAAATAAAAAGAAGCTCACACAACTCTGGGTTTCTGGTTTTGGTCTTTTTGTGTTCCGTCTAAAGCGCTACAACTGCCACACCAGCAAAAAATGGCTAAACAGCAAAGAAAAACATTTGAAAATAGCGCCAAGAAATGGAAGAAGATTAAATGGCAACCAAGGGGTGGTGGTGGTGGTACGTCAGCGCAATATAAATTGACTCGTGTTTTTCATTTAAACGTTTCGCCGCCCTCCAGCTCCAATCGTCTTATATATTTTCTTTTTGCTGCCTTCAATAATTCGAGTGCACAGCAGTTGCAGCTGCAGTCGCTGCCACTTAAACCTGAAATTAACTTTGGCCCACGGAAGTATGCAGCGGACATGGCAAATCGGGCAACGTGAGCCGGCCATACAAGCATATCCCGCACTGTCCGTAGGAGGAGCACTTGTGGCTACCTTTTTTGTGGCCAGCTTTCTCCGTTCTCGCCGCCATCCCGTATTGCTTGATTATTTCGTTTGGAAATTGATGCTGCCATCAATTATAGGAAAGCACAGGGAAGAGCAAGGCATCGGGATTGGAGAGAAATGAATCCGGTTAGCAAGAAGGCACACCAGAGTCAGATAAAGGCACAGAGAGCGAAAGTCGTAGCTAATTGGATGAAGGATCTTGCAGAAATGTTTAATAAAATGTGTGTGTACGATGCCAAGATGAAAGCTAAATATTCAATCCAATGTCACAAATTCGTTATAAAGTCTGAACTTAATCCTTAAAGTTTAATATGAAGCCCTGAAGCCAACATTTGCTTCGTTTTAAATGCATTGTAACCTAAACTGTACATAAATTCTATTTGAGTTTATGCAGAAACTCTGGATTTATTCAAAGTAAATAGCCAAACTAAATTCCTGATTAGATTCCCTGAATGAATACATTCGCTTCAAGTTTCATTATTAAATGGATTTCCTTTGCTTGGTCTAGACCATTTCCTGGAGAAGTTTGCATTTTATTATTTGGCTTATCAAGTTATAAATACTCCAAGTAGACCTGGCAACTCAAGACTCTTCAATGAAAGCTGATTGAAATTTTTAACTTGGTTTTATGTTTCACCAGCAAATTGAATTTCTGAGTGTACGCCAAGACCAATGGACACAATGGAGTTTCCATTGCCGCCGGCTGATTGGTTACTCGGATGGCTTTAAGCCAACGCTTTGTAATCGATGGCCCCGCAAAAACGCTGTGCAGTGCTAAAATAAACCGAAATCAATTTGGTTAAGCCCAGACGGACGATGAAGATGGAGCTGGAGTGCTGGCCACCCACTTAGCTAATCAGGATAAATAAATATTTATAATTAATTTAAAATATAAACAGCAGAGAAGAGCGCCCGGGCGGCGCAATTAATTTCGGCTAGTTCGACGGGGGACAAGGACTGGAAAACCAAAGGCAGAGAACTGAAACTGAAAACGGAGAAGGGAAAGCGAAGAAAACTTTCATTTTGATAACAAGGCAAACAAGCAAAGTGCTCATCGTCCAAGATTCGCAGGCATATGAATAAATGACTGAATGCATGAATAAGCAATCAACAATAATGGCCCGGGGAAACACAAAAACAGGGTTGAAAGAGGAGATACACCGAGAGGATTTTCGAGAGGAATTCTTAGAAAAGAAACTGAATTTTGAATCCCTAAGAAATTTAATTAATTTAAGCTTTAGTTCAGTATATTTACATAATTACAGAGGGAAAATTGAGTTTATTTAAGAGAACTTTTCTTTCAGAAAGTTTATAGGAATATTTATAGTTTATAGAAAACATATAGTTTAGATTAATATTTGAATAAGATTTATTGTTTATAAAATCAATACCTTTCTGATTTTGTTGCTGTGCAATAAAGGTGAGCGGCTGGAGGTGGAAGATGGGTATACTATGAAAATATATGCACGGCGAAGAAGAGGTGAGGGGACTCAAGGCGACCCATGCCATGGTCAAGTGCCGGGAGGTGCGAACGAGATGACCAGCTAATGAGCCAAGTCATCAGGTGTTGGCCAAATGGGTTGCGGAGCTGTGGGTGGCGCATCAATGTGGTTAAAGGTGGCCCATGGTGGGTGGTGGTCAGTGGTTGAGTGCGTGAGCCCGTGCGTGCTTAATGAACTGCAATCAATGGCCCAGGCCAGTCGATAAGAAACGAAGAGGCGTCTCATTGTGCGTGCAACTGGTGATGCAAACACTCAGAAAAATATTATCTGTAAAGTAGATACATAGATAGAAAAATGGTAGAAAAAGATATAAATTTTATTATATTAAATAAAATATGTAGTAGCTGTAGATTTCACTGTATATTTTTATTATAGTTTCGTTTTCGCATGAGTTGGTCAACCATATTGATAGCTGGCGATTTACCGAGCCCTCTGACTAATTGGCGCATTAATTAAGCACATTTTTGTTGAAATTTATTTAAATACAACGCCGGAAAAGAGACAATGTATAGAGAGAGATGAGTATCGAGAGATAGGGGAAGGGAAAGAGATACACACATCGAGTTTTCCCCTCACACCTTTTGGCTCGCGTGAATTGGTTTTGGGCGTGAAATTGCTTTCAACGTTTAATTAGAAAAGGTTCGTGCGGTGGTTTATTTTTGGCCATCAACCGCATTTGTGCCTGAAAGCAACCCATTCGAATTTCCACCACCACGATTCGCTGCAATTTATTATCAGAAGCGAAACACGCACCTCACCTTTCGAAGCGCTGTCTTTGTTTACCTGGTTTTTGGGATAAATTAAGGGATTAGACCGAGAGGATGCTGTGAGGTGTGTGAGTGAGTGTGCCACGCAATTAGCCACAAAATCAATTTTACACAAAAGCAGCAAAAGAGTCGAAGTAATCAACGCCTCGGGCTGGCAACAAAAGCGAATCATTCCGATCGGTTACAGGCATTATCGATTGAAGCCTCCTCTCAAGGTGCCGGCATTAATTAAATTAAACTACACATGTGTGAACGAAATAATAACTAGTGAGCGACAGGGGAGCGGGGTACTAGTATATTGTCAGCAATATTGGTAACAGCATGCGGCCTGGCCTGCCTGCCTTGCCTGCGTTTTTCCATCTCGAGCTTTGTGCGCCAACTGTGTGATATAAAATATAATTGAATTGATATGATATGAGGCATTCGGAGTGGCATCCAGCAGGCCAAAACAACAATAGCCACCCACATGGCAGACATTCATTTTTATCTTTATTGGCCCATGCAAATGCGAAGTCGAGAAACGAAGACGAGAGTCCTGGTAAATACTACAGTAGTGGTTAAAAAATAAACACATATATCTTCAATAATTAAGTGAACAACTCAAGAAATAAATTTAACATGGCTAGAAAATGTTGAATATTATAGATCAATACTTGCAACCACATAAAGAGATTCCATTCACTTGAAAAGACACATCACAATATTACGATATTTCTTTCATCAAATTTAACAAAAAGTATAATCTTATATTTCAAAATGTTTAACAATAACTATTCCTTTGAGCACAGTTGTGCTTCCAATAAACAGATAGGAGATGAGATGTAAAGTCAAGGCTGATGCCTGTTGTGCACATGTCCTTTGACGAGCTTATTGATGACTGCTGGCCAAATGCAAAAACACTTGTATGAAAAATGGCATTCAGAAAATAAATAAGGATGGAGATCCTTGAGGAAAATAACAACAAAAAACACAGTGACAGTCAATATTACCAGGGAAATAAAAGTTAACTCTTGATTACAAACAACAAGTAACAATTAAATTTACATTTCTTCAGGAAGAGTGCGAAATAGTCTATTTATATATAAAACAAAAATATCAAAAGAAATAAAATTGAAACCAATTAATAAAATAGTTTTAACTAAATTATAGTCAAAAGAAACAGATTTGGGAAAGCTTGTCAATAATCATTTTAAAATAAATTATTATTTCTACGAGGGTAAAATAAATCATCTTTGATGCCAACATAATTAACATCCTTGACATGGAAGACTATTTTAAATCCATCTAATATAATTTGTCACAACGAGCTTGAGTGCATTAAACTCATCTAAAAACATTTCAGACTCACTGCCAGTTGGAATTAGCAATAAATGTTGACCAAAAATGTTAGTCGAATGGCAAGTTTTCACAGCGCACAGAAAACTATAAAAACTTTTCAACATTTCAATTCATAATTCAACACATAATTATATAATGCCGGCTTTGTCTATCTCCACTCGCAGGCTGCCCTCTGCTGTTGCTGTCTCTTTCGAATTGTCCTGTGGCACTCCCTCCCTCTCTCTCTCTCTCTCTCTCTATGTCTCTGTCTATCTCTCTTTCACTCCTTGCCGGACTGTGGCCAGGCGAAATATGTCAGAAACTTTTCAAAACTGTAACAGCGCCAATTTGTCTACAAAAACGTTGACCGTACAGCACTCAGTGTGTCCCTGCCGCCCTCCGAAATCCTGTAAAACATTTTCCCGCCCACTTCAAATGTAATTTCAACTCAAATTCACTGTATAATATTTATGCAAATATTTCCACGCTCCCTTCTCTTGTCTAATATATACTGTTGTAGTTGCTTATGCATTATGGTAAATAATTGCTGGTATTTTTTTGCCCGGCTACAAAAAGTTCTGCGATATTGTTGGTCCTTTTTAGTATTTGTGTAGCTAAAATATTGCGTTAATTATCACGAAATGCCACAGCATATAATGTACATGCACTGAACAATTTAATATTCATTAAATTCATTACATAAATATCATATTTAAGTTTAAAGAGATTAAAGCAATTATGTATATCTATAAGAATATGAACGATTACCTACATAAATTTGCCTGTTTGATAATCTAATAATAATATTTTATTTATTAAATGCTTTATTTTAAAGTCTTTTATTATGTTCAATTTGGTAATAATTTAAGTGAGACTATTAGTAGAGAAATTAAATAATCAAAGTCCATTTAGATGCTAGTTTTTTTGATTTATTGTATACATTTTTAATATGACTTGAATTATTTTCCTCTCTGCATATATATGTATATGTATATAGCTCCAAGGAGTCTGTATCTGTTTGATCCTGTCTGTCTATGTGTGTGTGTGTGCAACCGCGCAATTTATATTTTTGTTAATTTTGTTCATTTTTTGGCCACGCGTAATTACATGAAGTATTCATGTGTAAAAATTTGTTATTGTATTTTTGGCCTCGTAAATTGTTTAACTTTTAAACATTTATTGGATGTTGGCCGTATCAGCCGGAAAACCAATTTTCACTGCCCAGAAGTGAGAGATGGGAGAAGACGAAAAGTTTTCTTCTTCACTTTTTTTGTGGAGGATGCGAAGCAATTGACAGCGCAGCGAAGAAAACAAGACTTGAAAACTAACATCAAATATTTAAGACGGAAAACTGGAGTCTCTGTCTCCCTTGGCGAGTTGCCCTGGAAAATATGCAAGGAAATTTTTGTTTCTACCCGGAGAAATTATTGCACATCCATGCTCCGAAAGTCGCCTTTTTCACTCCTCGAAAAGCGGGTGGAAAATCGGTCTGAGCTCGAGGCAATAAGTTAAATTAGTTTCACCAGTATCGTGGCGTCTTGCCTCTTTGTTCTTCCTCCTTGCCACCGCCGCCACTCCTTATGACAATAAAAATATTACCCATAAATTATCACAAGTGAGTTCATCACATGGCTGGCGCTTTTCCCGCTCCCCCTCCGATTTTCATTCACAATTCGCCTGTCTGTAAAAAGTTCGTCTGGCTTTAGTTTAGTGGAAGCAGATGCTCGAAAGGATGTCGGTGCCTGGAGGAGCGAGGGCTGCTCCTCTGAAAACCCCTCAGCATTTACCGCGCTCATTTGTAACTAAATCTGGGCTAGCTCAGCTCGGTTGCGTGGCAGAAAGTTTATGAGTGTGCGGGTGGACTTGCAACCAAACATTTTCATATCCTCGGATATCAGAGGCGTGCTTTAGAGAAATTAAGAAGGGATTTTACATAAATATTTTTATATTTATTCGATTGGCTACAGTTTTTGAAACAATTAAAACAATGGTAAAGAATTATGTATATGTAGTAGAACAAACATGTTTATAGATAATTTGTACAAAGCAAAGTAACATCAAGTATTAAACATTTTAATTAATTAATTAATAATTGAATTATTATTATTTTAGGAATAGTCAATTTGATATCTTAAATCTATTTGCATAGTTCAGAAACCTTCTTAAGGGTTTTTATAATCTCAGTGATTAGTGATCAGAAAATAATGATAGTGAAGGAAACCCTTTTTATTGATTGAACTTTAATATGTTTGCGTAAAAAGTGCAGGACCAATATTAACGAATAAATAATAAAAACAATGTTACACATTAAAGAGAAACAATTTACATTTGACTTTGGTACCCCAAATATTTTATTTTAGACATAAGGCAAATTAATCTAGGATATTTCAGAGATGTATAGTCTTAATAAGGTTCCTTTCAAAATAAGTAAAAATAAATCTAGGATGATTCAGTGAATTATAATACTTGTTGTTTATTAATAATTTAAAAAGAATATACCTTTTATGAAAGTAAAATGTTGTATTTTACACAATGGGGGCATAAACCTTATTGCATTTTGTGACGACACCCCTGGAACGCGGACGAGCATCCTGGCGCATATGTGAGTGTTTGCGCAACTGCATATTGTCATAATGGTGAATGCATGATATATTGAATTTTGCAGTCAATAAACGTTTTATGATCACAGCTGCACATATTTCACAATTTTCCTCTCGTTTTTCCACTCCGCTCATATTTTTTGTGTGTTTTTGCCGCTTTTGTCGTGGCAAAGTTGCATAAAAGTTGGGTGGAAAGTGCGACAGCAAAGAAAGACTCTGGGGCGGAAAGCCCGTTGAGGGCAATCGAAAAATTTAAGGTCATTATGGGCGGTGTGTATGTGTGTGACTCATCAATGTCATCAAATCCGGCTAAGCTGGTGCTTTGTGCCTGCAAAAGTGCAAGTTGATACAGATCCTTGGCAATCCATCGAAGGACCATAAAGTTGTTCAAGCTGCCAGACGAAATCACTGCTCACAAAAATTCATCATCGATGCTGCTCCGGCTCCCTCTGCTCTGCCGTTTTTCCATTGGCATTTTCCGGGGCCAATCTCTGCAGCAGGCACTCTCAAACTGCAGGGGCTGACGTTGAGCTAAGCTCGGCCTAATTTCCAAAGGCAAATGGCCGCAGGCTCAAGCGGCAGACTCACCCAGTGAGTGCGAAAAAAAATAGTACACAGTAGACATAAAATGAAACGGAGGCAACACAACAGAAAACACAACAGGAAGCTGTCCATGAAAATGAAGATGAACCAGCAGGAGCAGTACTAAAAGCAACAAGCAGCCGTTGAGCGGATATTGTGCCACTCCCAAAGGATGTGAGGAAGTGGGCGTAGGAATACAGAGAGGGAAATCGATCACTGGAAAATATACGTAATTTGTTGACAAGAAGTTGTTTAATCAAAATCGAATATTTATAGATTTTTACTTATTTTTACTTCATTGCACCTGATTTGATGAAGAAAATACACATCATTTTCAATAATCCTAAAGTAAAAGACTTTATATAAACATTTTATATAGATCCATAAAGAACTCGTTCATGTGCAATCCTAAATTAATTTAAAATTATATTCATTTATTAAATGACTTACTTATAATTTACCTTATCCAAACATAAAAACCTAATTGCAGCTTTTTATCATATTCCAAAAGAATAAAAGAAATTCGATTCCTTTGTCAAGTGTTTTTTCTTGGAACTATACAAAAAAAAGAGATTAAGCCAGATATAATATTCTGTTCTTCCAAGAAGAGACAGATATTCTCAGTGTATCACACACACATTGATTATGCTGCGTTGCTATCACGATTTCTATTTGAAACAAAGCACAGGCGCAAAAATAGCAAAACGGGAGTAAAGACGGTTGAAGCAGCAGCAGGAGCAGGAGCAGCGGCAACAAAAAATGGCAGCAAAGAGGTTTACAACTTCTCGTAAGGCGGCTTAAACGATTTGCGAGTTTATGGAAAGCCAAACACACACTCAACGCAAACACACACGTCACACAGTCACACAGATGATGCCTCTGTCTGTCTCTCGGTGTGTGTTTGGGGGTGAGTGTGCCAGGGTATGTGTGTGTGTGGGGGGGCAGGATAAGCGACGGGGTCGGGCATATTGTAAAACAAATGGAAAATTGCTTTTTGATGTAGTCAGTCAACTTTGCCTTGCCTTGCCTCGGTACCATCATCATCGACAGCGATGACGATGTGGGAATGAGGATGAGGATTGGAATTGGGAAAATGGCCAAGGATGGGCCTGGTCCTAAAGATCAGGGGTGCCGACAGATCGAGATATCTTGTAATTGACTTTATTCATATATTTTAAACATTTAAAACAGAAATAGAATGTGTGCTAACTTAATGTTACATTGAATGCAAATGCGATATTCAAATAGCAACATTAACAGATACTAAGATGGGCTAATTAAATATCTATTTGTATTTGCAAATTTAAGCTGTTATTAATGATTGATTTTATCTAAATGGGGCAACACTGATGATGGCTGACTGGCAAGTTGAAAGGCTTTAAGCGCCCAGGAGTATGATGCATGTCATTTGCGCTCTGCTCTTGCAGTGGCTGCAATTCTTAATCCTGTGGGGCTTATGTGCTACAGCCAAGAAAAGGACCATGATGGCGGATGTGCTGATGATGAGGATGTGGCAGCCACTGCTGTCGCCAGATTCAATATTGTTTCACGCTCCTGGACGGGTATGCAAATCCATGGGAGGCAGGGAGTGTGAGTCCCTGTTTGGGCCAAGAGGCGGTTGAGCCGAGCCAACATCGAACGCTTTTAAAATAACAAAGGGAGCCGAGATAACTCCCCCACAAAATTGAGGCATTCAGAAGGAGTCCTTCTCTCGGCTCTGCTAACTATACAGTCTGACAATAATGTATACTCTTTGCTTAAAAATTAAGTAAAATAGTAATTGCAAATATACCTAGTTTAGCCAACAAATGTTTTCAAACTCTTCCCATAAATGTTTCCGTAGTGATCCTTACTTTTCATGTTTACAAAAGAAATAATATTTGAAGATTATACATTTTCTCCCCGTGTACTTCGGAACCAAAGCCCTTATGACACCGCATCCATTTGAATAAGTCTCTGTTCCCCCTTTCAGATTTCGGTGAGGCGGCACTGCGTGATGTCAATCTGCTGGTGGAACCACCGGCAGTGCGAAGGGGTCAATCGGCGGCTCTGCGCTGCGACTACCAACTGGACGGAGCGCCCTTGTACTCCATCAAGTTCTACCGCGGCCAGATGGAGTTCTACCGGTACACGCCCGGAGAGTATCCACCCACCAAGGTCTTTCCGTATCCCGGCATCCGTGTGGACGTAAGTGTGATCCAACGAGGGGTTATTGTTCGCATTTAATGGGTATTTTTGGCTCATTCTTGGCAGGAGAACGGCTCGAATGCCACCATGGTGCACATACGCAACGTGAGCTTCGGCCTGTCCGGACCATTTAGCTGCGAGGTGACGGCGGATGCACCGCTCTATTCCACCTCCACCGCCTACGCCCAGATGCAAGTCGTTGGTGAGTATGCAACGGTGTCCTGACAATGACAAACAGAGCCTGTCTCATTAGTCCTGGCGCGAGCTCTGACAAGGCAAGAGCAGCGAATAATGGTTAGAGAAGCGCTCCTTTTACTCTGCTCCCTCATACTCCATATCTGGAATTAAGAGCTAGCTAGCTAAATGATGAACAAACACTTGAAATACTAGGGTAATTTTAGCTCTAAAATTAATAATGGTTAAATTTAAAAAGAATTTAAGAAATATTGTGAGCTACGGAATATAAAATTAAAAATATCGTGCGTAAGAAACAAGGAGGTTTGTTTACAAACACGTTAAGCATATTATTATGAACTAATATAATTTATATTTTATGAGGGGTAATAAGAGAACTTAAGGTCTAGTTTCACTCGACTTCATTTAAATAACTCCATAAATAACTCCATATATTAGTGCAAGATTTTTACTGATGATCTCTCGAACTTATATAATTTGTAACTATTATTTATATTGCAAAAATTCCTAATATTTTCAGAGTATCCTGAGAAGCGTCCTCAGCTTTTTACGGAGCATACGCGCTATGAGCCCGGTGATGTCCTTAGGGCGAATTGCAGTACTTTACCTTCGAGGCCACGTGCAGAACTACGATTTACTATCAATAATATACCGGTAAGTTATATATTACAACAATATATATATATAAAATAAATTAAGGAATCCTTAACAATAAATATCAAAAATTATACAATTAACAAAGTACAAACAAGAACATTCAAAGGTTTACGCTACATTTTCAAATTTAACAACCTAAAAGTGTATAAATTTCAGAAATTAAAATTCTAAAAACATTCAGAGGGAAGCTTAAAAATAATGACATAGTTCTAGATGTAGAAGTAGAATACTATTTCTAAAAATAATACATTGTAACTATGGTCTTTAGAATATTCAAGGGCTTAATGTTAATTTTCAATAATAACCACACTAGAGTATAAATTTAAGCAAATTAATATCAAAACTCTTTCAAATACTCATATAGCCATGGGTACGATCTGATCTCGAAGAAATTACTGTGACCCCTCAGGGCGAAACGGTTTACAATCGACAATTAAGAAGTCTTACATCAAACTCGCATTGATTGTTAATTAATGTCCCGGCTGTATGAAGAAGTTTTGGGCAAGAGCGTGGGGGATTTGCCTAATTAAACAGCTTTGACTTTCCTAACGGCATCGTAAATCCTTTATAATGGCAGCCACCACCGTTCCGCGTTGGGAAACATGTGTGGCTTTCGTTTAATCCAAGGCGACGTGCTTCACAAAATTTGTCCTTTATTTATGAATATGATGTAATTTAATCAGAGCAAGCGACTGAATTACAAGGCGAACCGACTCGACTCGGCTCCCCTCATCTTACCTACTTAATTAAAAATCTCAAGCCGAAAAACCCAGGCCAAGAAATTGTTCGGGCCAAAAACCGCTTGTGGGCAAAATGGAGTCAATAAAGCAAAAAAGGGTTTTGCGCCTGGCTTCGGCCTCTGATTTGATTGTGAGATTTTCCCTTTTTTGTCATTTATCATAAAGATATGGGGGGGTGAGAGGGTTTGTAAAGGCAAGACATATGCATCTGCACAGTGAAGGTAGAAAAAATAGCATCAAAGATGCTTTGTAAACACTACAATCACTAAAAAATTCCTTCTTATAAAACTCAATTTTAAATGTTAAACACAACTTTCTCTTTGAATATTATTTACAATTTAATTTAATTAAATCAAATCAGATTTGAAAGCAAACATTTTAACCTTAACTGTATACAATCATATATAAAACATATCCACGATATGAGGCTGGCTATCATCATTAGTCATTTCGGGGCGCTTCCATTTCTGCATCAATTCTGCGGAGCCGCTAATCAGTTGCATAAATCAACAAAGAAATGCTTCCGGCAATCGGTTTAAAGCAATGCCAGATCCCAATTCTTTGACCTAACCCCGAAATCCTTTACGTTTTTTGTTGCTCCCTTTTTTCTTCTTGGCCCAAATGTTATTAATCATAGCCGAGACATAAAATAAATTACGTTCAACTTGTGGCAAAAACGAAATTGCCGGACGGGCCAGTGGACAGCATTGGACCACGGACAAAGGGACAGAGGACAAAGGACAACGCTTTTTAAATGAATTTACGAGATGAACAAATTTTCAGTTGACACGCCCGCTGAACGAATTCAGCTTTTCTACAATTTCCCAGAGTGTGCAGGCAAGGGAGCATAGAAAAAAAAACAACAACAAGAAGAAAACTTATTAAACGCTTCATAAATTTTTATATTATGTCTACCCACATCATCAGACGTAACGTGTCCTTCTATGTCCGTCTGCTTTGTTTTCTCTTTCCCTCTCTTTTTTCTATTTTTTCCTGGCCTCGTGCGCCAGTGTGTGTCTTATCCTGTCGCTTTATATCTGCCGGCTGTAGTCTACTTTTTGGGGCATCGACACACACACACCCATACACCCACAGGACTCACATGCAGGCCGTTTAACATTTTATCTAGACTTCTTCGCAGCCAACTAATGACAAAAGCCGAGACAAAAGTACGCCGCTGTGTTCAAGGATTGCGAATGGGGAGCAGGACCGAGTCTTCCCCGTCTGTCACATAAAATTTTATGTTTACACAGGAAGAATAATATGGGTATCCATTAGAATTCCATTCCAATATCTTCTTTACTCTTAAGTGGGTGAAAATAAAGAATTCTGTTGATTGTGTCTAGACGCATAGCTTAGGCTTTGATTTAAAACTTATACAATAAATAGGTTTTTATTCCATATTTTGATTGGTAAAACATACACAGATTCAGATATTCATTTCCCCCTGTGTACTGTATTTCCAGAAAAAAAACAAGAAGGGTATAGCAAAAGTATAGCCTCCATTTATGTGACAATGGCCATGCAATTTAGTTTCATATGCCTGAGCATTAGATGCCTTTTTGATATTGAATTATGATCTGCACGCCGGAGCTGTTCACGCTCTTTAAATTAGATGGAAACCCTGGGATAATACTCTGTCACACAAAACAATGCCATAAATAATTCCAAGCTGAAACATTGACCCAGCACGTGTTGAGTTCAAGATTAAAGCTTCTCCCTGGACACTTACTATATATACATCTATATATATGGTCACATGTGTGTGACCCACTGCCAGTTAGGGGGACGAACAGGGGAAAAAAACAAACTTTAACGACTCACATAATTTGTTAAAAAGTTTCTGTCATATTAATGGAAAAGTAGCTCAAAATGTGCTCTCCCTGCTCCCATCTCTGTTTTACTTTTTCCCCCCTGATGATTCAGGGGAATTAGTTGGGATTAGGGCCAAAGTCTGACCATTAGACATGCGGATTTGTGCGGCCATCGATTTTGATAAATTATTTATTGAGCACAGCAAAACTAAGGACATAATTAAAGCTTGGCTTAGACCATGATTAATGGCTGCCTGAGGGAAATCGATAAGGCCAGCCCGGAATGGGAGTGGGTCAGAAATTTAAGTTAATTAAAGCCAAAGCATTTCATACATTCAAATATGAGCTGAGCAGGAGGGATCCCCAGGCCAATTAGCGAGCCACATCAAATGCAATTCGGCAATGTTAACAATAAAATAGGAAATAAATTCAGGAGCCTGTGTATTTTCCACACAATTTGCATAATCCCATCTAGGCAGAAATTATCAAGACGATATTAATTGCCAGGCCATCAAAATGAAGTTGCCCAGATAGCAAGGACCCTGAAACACAAACACAAGCCGACTTTCTGCCTAACCAAACGTTGTTTGAAAACAATTTGCAAGAGCCAAAATGTTTAGGCCAGCAAATGCGAAATGCTCATTTAATTGCCAAGAGGTTGAAGGTTCTCGATGCCATAAAGGTAAATCACAAGAAATATGAGGGTATTTTCACTTTCGGGTCGCTGCCTCAGCCACATGCTTAATTAAAGCGCTTGGCTTCTTAAGAGTGTCTCGTAAATTACGCGGCATTAAATCGGCAGAGCCAGATAGGAACAGGGATAGCCGCAGAAAAGGACGGGGAGTGTGCAAAAGAGTGGGACAGCGACAGCGATAGAGTAGGGACAGAAATGAATGAAACTGAAAATGACTTTTTATGTGGCTGCGTCGTCTGGGCTTTTCCGTTGCCAGCATAAAAATAAAAATAAAATTCAAATAAAATAAAAAGGATAAGCCAAAAAACGCACAAAACCCAAAACAAAATGGGCAAGTGTAAGTGTGTGTGAGTGTGTGTGTGTGTATGTGTATGGGTGAGATGCTGTTCGTAAAAAGGGTTAAAAGGCGACCGACAACAAAAAGAAAACGCTCGGCAATAAAGCGCTTTTCCTTTTAATGTTGTGGGTGAGTGGTGAGGAAATGAAGGTGAAGAGATCCTTAAGGGTTCCTGCAGAGAGAAAAACTAATATTAATTTATAAACTATACAAAGTTTTAAAGAAAATAATTGATTTCCATAACAAATATCAAGTAAAATCTGAGACAAATTCTAAAAAAAAGTCCTTACATAGATGTTAATGCTCAGCAAATAAGATTCAATTCAACTTCAAATTGAAACTAGACTAAATATACCTTAAGGCATTTCTTATATTTTTCATATATAAAATTTAATATAAATAAATTTACATAATTTTTTACTTTCGGAAACTGTTTTCCCGCAGTGCATCCCCTTAGCTGACCCAAATTCCACCAAACCCGTAATATCTTACACCTTTTTGTCTTCAAGGGGCTCCCCCGAAATAAATGCATAAGTAAATGGCGCTCAAATGAGTTTGTAAGTGGAAATGAAATGCATATTTATTGTATTTAAATTGCCAGCGAGTTTTCCGGCGCATCTTTCGCGGTGGCTAAGCTCAGGTTGTCATGTGAACTTTGAAAAGGGGGAAATGGGACGCGGGACACGGGACACAGGACGAGGGACATGGATGGTGTGGGTGTGAATCGGCAACAGGACATGCAGTCGAGCGGAAATGGCAGCGTGAGCGTTTTCAAAATGGCGCCTGCATTTCCTCACACACACGCATATATATGTTATTTATATTTTTTTCTTTTAACAATGGACGATGCGCCATTTGCGACTAAAAGCATTGCACACGGCAGTTTAGAGTTTTCTTTTCGCGCCAAAAGGAAATTGTGCAGCGAGAAGAGACTCAGGCAAATGAAGCGGAAAGCTCGAAAAGCACGGTAGTGTCGCATTGCATATGCATACGCGTTCAAATGGGGAGAAAAAAATAGCAACAAAAAATATATATAGAAAATATGCATCAGAAGTCAGGCTTAGGCGCACTGCTGTTGGTGTCATGGCGGAAATGAAATTTCAGCGCTTCTCAAAAGGCATCAAATAAACAGTTTTTTAACAGCAACAGCGCCAAGTAAACATCCTTCAAAATGAACAACAACACAAACAAACACATGGACACACAGACACGTCCATACATACACTCGAACAAAATGCCGGACACTTGCAGAGGCGAAAAAACCAACCAGGCGGATGAGTGAATAAGTGTCTCTTGATGTTTCTGTTGTTGCCATAGTTGTGTGTAACATTGAAAACTCCTTTTTAAATGCCAGCAATGCCAGAAGCAGTACCAACAGCAGTAGCAACAGAAGCAACAACAGCAGAAAGGACAACAACTCGCCACAAACAACAACAAAATATGACATGCCCATGTCCGTTCGTTTCGTTCACTTTCAGGATCCGTTTCCTTCGCCTCGCAGTTTCCATTGCATTTTCCAGCATACTTTCCTGCACTGCACTGGGTGGAAAATATCAGCTTTAGTTAAATTTTAAATTTTATTTGATCGATATTAACTTTAGTATTATTACTATTTAAAAGTGTAAAAGTAGTGTCACTTATAAGAATTAATAATATGACTTGAAAATAGTAAATTTACTGCTTAAACATGTTTAATATTTGAATACACAAATTAATCAAAATCACATAATTATATACTTTGACTATGATATACCCAGCTTACAGATGAGTAAAAACCATGGCATAGTTTTTGGGGCCCAGTAATTCTTCTTCTCGGAAATAATATTGGAGGCAATTAAGATTTCTCAAACAATCTTTGTAAATAGTTAGACCTTGTAATGGAATTTGGAATTACATTATTATATTGAACAATAAATATAAACAATATACACAATTTACAAAAACAAAACATTAGGTTAGGCTTAGCCATTAGGTAAAATTACACATTATTATAAATAATACAACAATTTTTCCCTCAGTGGGTTGGTCAAAGGCTTGGTCACTGGCAAGCAGCCATGGCCCCAAGTGCAACATGCTTGTAATAACCCCTCCACACACACACGCACACCCACAAATATATATACACAGACAGAAATGAGGGGTCAGTTGTGGGGGAGCCGGACAGACAGACAGACGACAAATTGCCATTCATATGCAGTTGCACAAAACCCGAAGCGAAACTCTACCATTTTTCCCCTTTTGCCCCTTTTGCTGATTTTATTTCTCCTTTCTGCAGGAACATTATTCTCTGGCTTCTGTAAAAGAGAAAAAGGGGGCGGACGCCCTTTGGCGGTGGAAGGACGAAAGGGGTGGCTACGGAAGCGGAAGAGAAAATCAGTTGCAACTGCAATTGCAGCTGGAAGCATGCCATGAATATTTTAAAGCATACTTTAGCAGCTTGCAGCGGCATTCGATTAGTATTCAAAATGACGAAAACCAAAACAATATTGTGGTTGAAGTACAGCGATTGATTTGATGGCTCACTCGGCAATAATAGGGGTCAACAGAATAGGATTTGACCTAACTGACCTCTGTTTTTGTTAGGTTATAACTTGATAGATTACTAACAGAAGTGCTGATATTTTCGGAAAACCTGCATACAGTTTTTATAATAAGAAATATTTCGTTAAAGCACCGTGTGTTACAGTAATGTAGTATTTACAATGTACATAGAATAATATATGACTTTCATATTCATTCCCCAATATTATTAAAGAAATTCTTATAAAATATATACATATCTCACTATTTCTATTTGCGACAGGTGAGCACGGAGGAAACACAGTATATTCGATCGGTTGACAATCTGATTGCATCCCGGCTCAGTCTGAAGCTGCAGCTGCAGGCGGTTCACTTTGTGGCCGGCTCCAGTGCCCATGGAAATGGAAATGGTAATGGCAATGGCATTGGCATCACAAACGCACTGCAGATGGTTGGCGGCTCTGGAGGTGGAGGAGGCCTCATCCTGCGATGCACGGCGCAAATTGGCGATTTCTATCAGGAGTACAAGGAAATCGAGCTGGGTACACCGCAAAAGGATCCGGTGCCGGCCAGAGGTAATCCACAAATGCAGTAGATGCCAACAGCTATAGAGCACTGAGAGAAAAGTTCATTAACTTAGAATTTATTACGTGTTGAAAAATCATAAAAATGAAAAGGAAAACTTAAAAAATGAAAATCTTTAAAAATTACAGGGTTTTAAACTTAAAAATGGACTAAAAGTATGCTATGATTTTATAGCGCAATTTGGATACCTTTTCAAGGGTTTTACGAGTCCAGTGATTGCTTTGTACTTTATTTTGTAACATTTACAATTTTCTTTTGAATTACTTAAAATCCTACCAATTTATTCACACTGCCCACTTGCCTGTGATTTGACCATTGCAGTGACGCTGTCGTCGGGCACCGGACTTCGTGGCTTCTTGGAGACCTATTTTGCCAAATCCTCGGCTTGCAGCCTCTGGCGCGGTGCGGCGGGGAGCGTGGCAGCGGGCTTAATGGCCACGATATTAACCAGGCTGATTAATGGTAGCTAAATGGGCGCAGGATTCATGGACTTCATTTGGGTGCGACTCGCGGGTGGAGGAGGAGAATGCGGCATGTGGCGTGTGTGTGGGATGTGTATAGCTTATCGATCAGCGATGGAAATTAGAGAGCTCTCGGCCGTAAACTGCATTATTTACCTATCACGAATGCAATTTAAATTACATCCACAGACACACACCTGGGATGTCCGTGTGATTCCCGTTAAGCTCCGCGCATACACATACACTCACCCACAGATCCCATATAACTGTAAATATTTGCTTTAATGATGTGAACGGATACACGTAAATGAACTCGCACATACACACACATACACAAACACACTCATATATACACGCATACACACGCGCGACTAATTGTTAATTAATGGATTATTTAATGATGCATAAAATATTGGATAAAATATGAATGTTTCATTTGCATTTAGCTTCAACCCAAGCGGATATCAACTTAATTTTAAGCGGAGTAAAAACCAAATGTAAATCGTTGAAACGATTAAAAAAGCAGGAAGGGAAAAACAGAAAAAGAAAAAAAAACACAAAAATAAATACCATAGAGAACTGTAAACATTTAAAAATGCCAATGTCAAGACAAACCAAATACATTCAAACCAAAATAAACATGCAGTAATAATCGAGTTCGGTGTGTTGGTTCTTTTCATTTAAATGGGAAATTAGTTAATTGATATTTGCCTTGGAATAAATGTAAATCTGGATAATTTAACTAATTATGCTATTAAAGTTCATTATGGATTGGATAATATTTATTCTAGAAGCCATTTTGGCAAGGTAAGTAGTAGATGCTGTCTTTTTACAGGATTTATTGCTTTTATGGGTTTAAAGCTTTAGTAATAGTTTAAGAATACTATAAAATCTTTTGAAAGTTAATATGACTAATTAAAGAGTTTCTATATAATAAATTGTTTTTTAAGCAATTTATTGCGAACTGATGTGCTGATCTTAATATTCGACCTTTCAAAAAGATAGGGAGTAAGGGCAAGCATTTGGCAATATTTAAATGAAAAACAGGTCAAATTCTTTAATATTTATACTATATTTTACTATATTATATTTTGTTATTTGTAAAATTATCTTTATATATCTAATTTAATATATTTTATTTAATATACATGGTGCATCTTTATATTGTAACTAGGGTTACAGTTGGTATAATAAATTATTATATATTTCTAACTATTTTATATAAATATATAAAAGTATTATTTACCCTTTTTTATAACATAGACAATTTCTCTGTTTAACTCATTTCTCAATTTATTAAATCTAACATTTAATGAATTTAAACCCAGAAACTTGTTATTAACATTATACAGCGAACAAAGTTTTTCTCTGTTTTCAAGCATTTTTATAATAAATAATACATACTTTTCCTAATTATATAAAGATAACTGCCTCCCAAGAATATTTCCCCCTTACCTCTCTGTATATAATTCTTACCGAAATCCTTTTAAGATTTTCCCATCGATTTCTAGACTCTCGTTCTTTTGTAGATTAAACTGGAGCATTTAAATGACAGCGCGCCGAGCTCAGCTGCATGCTGATGGCTGTATTTGGCTCAAATAAATAAGGCCTTGGCCAAATGGGCGTGGCACCGCCCATCGGCATCACTTTGCGCTGACAACTGAAACAAATTCGATTTCAAACGCGTTTTGTGCGCGTTTTCTGCCGCGTTGCGGATCGCGCTTGAAATTGTGTTGCATAGTTCTAGGAGGCTGTCGTTAAGGCGCACTGCTTGCAAGCAGTCCCAGTCTAATGCAATTAAACTCGAAATATATGGGAGCAGGGCCGAGGCCTTATGGCATTTAGCTCTTTCTGCACTCGCCCAAAAAGTCATTAAAAGATAAAATCGCAAAATCAATTAGCCAGAAACTTTAGCTGGCCGCGACTCGGACTCCAACGCCAACTCTTTCTGTCTATTGCCTGCACCAGACACCGAAAGAAGTGTTGACTTTTAGGTTTAGGTTTTTATAGCCAAAGTTTAATGTTTAGAGAAGGAAAAATGATTGAATATTGAATAAAATAAAGTAACAATTTTAAATATTAATAAAATTAATAATAACGTTTTTTTAGTTAAATAGATGAGTAATTTTGGCGAAAAATATTTTTTTTATGTTAAATATTATTATTTATAAATTATAGCTTCAAAAAGTTTCGGCTTATGCATATTGTAAGAATTTGTTACTATTATTTATTGTAGGAATATTTAAATAAATTAAAAATTAAAAATGGAATTATAAAATTTAAAAATTATCTTCATCATAAAAATGTTAAATGTGTCTTTTAATAAGTTTGTGTCATTGAAAATATATTAATTATTTCGAGCACTCAAAGTTTTTTTATTTAACAGCATGTAGCACTTAATTTAGGGTTCTATATTTTTTATCTGACACCGAGTAAGTGCTGTTTAACAATTAGTTAACTATAAACATACTGATCATATAAAAAAGAACGCATTAAATAGCTAATCTAATACAACATGAAATCCCTTTAAAAACTCAATTTTATTTTATAAGATTTTTTTATATAGAAGCTAACTTGAAATCTAGGAATAGCTTATGTTTTCCTCTTATTTTAATTTATCTATTTTAGCTAGCTAGAGTTCACGATCTAAAGTTTGGGTCAGCACTGAATGAAGCTGAAAGAGAAGAGAGACCGAGTTTCTGGGCGCCATCTAGCCTGACCATAAATTGCAACACTTTTATCGTCCTCCCAGGCCCGCCTGCTGTTGTCCTTGTGCGCTGCCTATTTTGCTTGTGCTTGGTGCTTGCCCGCTTTTTTTCGCCGCTGCACAGTTGCGCACAGTTTCCGATTTCCGTTTCCGCTTTTGCGGTGGCCGCCTTGGAGTTCGGTTCGGTTTTTATTTGCCGCACACTCGCTCGCCTCGACGCTTGCATAAGTGGGCAGAAATCAGCTCCTCCAGTTGGCCACAAAGTTTGCCGTTCGCATTGCCCGCTGCCGGCCTTTTTTGGCAAACGCATTTTTTCATTACTTTCGACTGGCCGGAAGCCAAGAGTCTGCACAGAGAGAAAACTATAATCAATTTACAATTTATACTCACAGTTTTTGCATAGACATCACTTAATTATATTTAAGCTATAATTTATATGTGACCTATTATTATTTTTTTTATTTTCACTTTTTTTCTCCGTGTGCTGGAAGTAGGAAAACCCGTGGCCAATGGGTATATGCCTGATGGTAGATGGCAAATGCATTTGCCTGCAAGTTAACGGCCGTTGGGACGGCACTTCCGCTCGCCGCCTCATTGGCCACGCCCAGAAAGAGCAAAAACAAAATTGTACCGAATATTTCCTATATATACAAAGAGGCGGCGGCCAAAAGAAGAAGCCAAAAGGCAGTGCATGAAATACTTTTATGCAATTGAAACGAATTGCAGAAAATGATTTATGCCACAGCATTAAAGCCCAAATTGGTACAGTCGAGAGGAAGCCGCTGTGATGTATGGTTATGCGATACGCTTCACAGGGCAATCGGTATGATAACATTATCCCAATAAATCGGGAGGACAGCTTAAATACACATAACTTGATCAAATATACATTAAACCATTCCAAAATATGTCTTAGAAATCTATAATTAAGTCACTAATAAGGTTTTAATTCTCGTGAACTTAAGAATGAGAAGATGAATTAATGCTTTTTATAAGAATAATAAGAACATAATTCCCTTATTAATCTTCTAGCATAATAATTTGTGCAGAAATTTCTTAAAAAAGAGAAGCCCCAATTTTTATGGCTATTCCAGGAATTTGTAATTAAAGACATGAGAACGGATTTTTATTACGTCAGTGTCTCCCACGCAAGGATCTCGGCCTTGGTGCCCACTCAGTGTCAGTTTGAGGCCAGCTCATTACAGGTCAATTAATTAATTGAAGCCTGCCAAACGACGGAGCCGAGCTGCCAACCAATATAGCCATAAAAGTGAATGGGCCCGCAGCTGAGCATACACGGAGGCCGGAGACTAAAAACACACACACCGAGCCCCAAGAATGGGGCCGAGAATGAATTGCTATAATCACTGGAGCAACAGCAGGAGCCGCTCTCACTGGACGGAGGATGGAGGAGGTGGCTATCGAAGGATATAGGAGGCACAGGGAATGACATATTGGCCAACGAATTTGATTCGGCCGACAGAGTTCATGACATTTGACCATGGGCCATTTGAAATTCGATTTTTAATGGCCAACGAATCGGTTAAAGGTAACCATTGCCTACGGGTACTCATACTCTTCTGCTTCCTAGTATATTCACCCAGTCTGTCCTGACAATTGCCTCGTTAGTGGGTTTAAAACACAGTCATTCCCATTCAAAATCCATGGCCAAAATCTGCAAATGGTTGTTGCCACAATTTAAGGATTATGCACATGGAAATGGAGTTTTAATACGCGAATTCATTCTTAGGGGCACCACTCGCAACTTTGGTAATTCAGCTGCTAGGCCATACATTAGCATAAATTTGGCCAACCATTGTCATGGTCTGATTTGGGGGCATGTGTCAGGACCCGGATTGATGCCATGAATATTTTATTAACATCGGCACGCTCCAACTTTCGACCTCGAAAAAGGGAATGTATTTATGCAGTTGCAGCCAAGATAATAGCACTGGGAGTTCCACTTATGTTACCTTTCCTTTTATTGGTTTATATTTAAACATTTCATATTGTATAGATATTATATTTTACTTTGAGTATATAAACTCCATTTGTTACGCGTACATTAGGTTTTAAATTGTTACTAAATATTGATATTTATAAATTTTTACCAAAATTTTTTCAGTATTTTCTTAAATAAGATATAAGTTTCAAATCCTTTTATAATATGTATAATAAATATGTTGAATAAATTTGTTTAACTACTTTAAAGTGATTAAAATTCATTCAGGGATGAATATCGGTAGAAAAAGTTTAAATAAAAAATATCTCATTTCTATGTATCGAATTCTTAGTAATATTGAATTTAGCGCATAAATATAGATATTATCAGTATTATTACCGATATATTAAGAAGAATATATAAATTTATCGCACATATATTGAAACATATTTAAATATCAATATAATTGGTATTATGTTTATTAAATTGTATTTCTTTTTGCGATTATAGAGACACAAAGAGGTTTAATATATATAACAGAAAAGGATTGCACGCATATGTATATATTGCAACATTAAGAAATCGATTTATTATCGTTCTATGCGTCAAATATCGATACAAGCTCGACATATCAATATCTGGATATTACGTTTACGTAAAAGTATTTCTAATTATTTTACTAATTTTATATACAGAAATTTATGCAATAATTATACTAACCACTTTTTGCTATCATGTTGACCCCAAACGTATGTGGGGCCTACAATTTTTATGTAATTCTGCAACTGAATCGGGCAAATGAAATTTTCGCACAAATTTGCATTGCATATTGTTCGGGGCCTCTACGTGCAGTCCGATGACAAATCGTCATTAATAAAGCCTAGATGAGTGACTGGCTGAGGGAGAGAGTTTTTTCTGGCGGTAGCTGCTCTATGTGGGCGTGGCAACA